GGGGGGGGGGGGGGGGGGGGGGGGGGGGGGGGGGGGGGGGGGGGGGAGATAGGCCGCTTGACCCGCGACTCTTGCACCATCAGTTTCGCATCTCAGTTAATAAGGAGGGAAACCTACATTGGCGTTTATTTCAATGCTGCCAACGGTTTTTATTCCTGCAAGTCTTTTTCTTGGCGTTCTGGGGGGAGGGGGTCAGCAGAGATCACATCGGCGGCAGGCAAGGGGCGAAGGGTACGGGAAAACAGCGTACGGAAACGATACGTGACGTAACGGCAACGCCGATGGGGGCCAAACGCCCCGGCCACGTGCCACAGTACTCGGACCACGTTCCACGACCCTGCTTCAAACAACATACACACTCACACCCAATACCACGCCCTTCGCGAGAAAGCAATTCGATACAACCCGCTCGCCAGCTATGCAGACGTCCGCCGGACGTCCAACGCACCTCTATCGCTGTATGTGTAGCCGTGGGTCTGCCGCACGGCTGGGGTGCCGCGTTTTCTGTCCCCGTTTTTCCCGCCGCTCCCGTGCCCATTCCCATTGGTCAGCGACCCGTTCTTCCCCCCGGGCGTGGCACCGGTGTCCAGAACGTTCCCCGTCGAGCGAGTGTGGCACCCATTTTCTCTGTTGCGGCTGCTGGAGAGCTCGGTCAGGTTGTCCCTAGGCGCGGAGCTAGACGCCACATCCCTCGCCGTCGACCCTAGGTCGTCGGGCGTCATCAGGAAGTGTCGCCTTATCAAGTTGGACCATCGCAGGTACCGCAGCAGTTTCTCGACGACGTAGCTCTAGTTCGGAGGTGGTTCACCAAAACGTACGCCAAGGCGNGGGGGGGGGGGGGGGGGGGGGGGGGGGGGGGGGGGGGGGGGGGGGGGGGGGGGGGGGGGGGGGGGGGGGGGGGGGGGGGGGGGGGGGGGGGATGCGCGAGTGAGATGAATCGCGCTGCTTTCGGTATAGTTTGCGTCGAGTATGTATGTATGCTTGTCCCATCTATTCTGGTGGAAGTCTACGCCATTTTCGATGCATATGCTGGCGTACTACCTGTTGCCGGAGTCAAAGTAGGGGAAGAAAGGTCACAGAGGAGCTCTTTGTTTTTATACTTTGACATGATGCCCCACCTAGGTATAGACATTGGTGTTGAGACCGCGGAGGTGGAAGAGTGTGGAAGCAACAAGGGAACAGAGAAACAAACGAGGCGCAGTTGCACATGCTGACCTCTCTTTCCTTCCAGCTATTGCTTCTCGTGGGGGAAAACGCACGCTGGGCGAAACTACTCATACTCGAATGGGGTCTGCCTCAGCAAGCCCCTCGGGCAGCACCGACACATCCTGCTTGCGCGAACGAAAACGCCATCCAGTTCACAGGCGGTGAAGGACCTTCGTTCGTGAAAAAGCTCCGGCGTTTGGGCTGACACAAGGCTTCGCGCTGAGGTTGGCATCAAGGCCGTCGTCAGATGGCAAACCATGTTGCTGGCAGACCCTTGCCGCGTATCGCGTGTGTGGGTCGAACCTCTAAACGCCGCCCATCAGGGTGTCAACTTGGATGCCAAAAATGACGTCAAGGTGAGAACCAGTGAACTGTGTACTCTAACTCGCTGACCCAATATCGCTCTCTATCCCGCTTCAACAGATGTCAGACCGTTCGTTCAGTCCCGGCAGCGAAAGGAGTTCGCTGGCCAAGGGGCGAACAAGAGGCGCCCTTCCGCCAACAAAGTGCTCAAGTCGTCCTTCACCACTGTTCCAATCGATGGGCGGAAGGATTTTGCTTTCCAGGCGTAGCAGAGGCCCTATGGAGGGGCGCCAAACCGTCCCTTAACTACAACGACGTGGCGGCGGCCTTGACATCGACGCTCACGTCTCACACAGAGACGCCGTGATATGGACTACTTCGAAGTACGATTGGAATATTGTAGTGGTGAAGGACGACTTGAGCACTTTGTCAGCGGAAGGGTGCCTCTGCAATGTTTGTCCTGTCTAGATTCCATAGTGTTGGTGGCCTGGTACATATTGATTCCATCGCATTCGTGTTAGCTTGGCTGGGTTCTTCCTCGTTTGTTTCCATTCCCTAACGCGCCCTTCTCGAGTACTTCCATGTACTGCACCTAGACTGAAACTTTTTGTTCTAGTTCGCAACAAGTCAACCTACAAAATATAACGAGGAAGCGCCTACGTGAGACGGTAGTTGGAGGCATGTCTTCAAGGATTCTAAAAACCTGCGCAAAAGGTATCCCAGGCTCTCTCCGTCTCTCTCACTGAATCTCTTACGCTTGACGCGGCACACATATTTTCTGACTCTCTCCGCACTCCTCGCGGTCCCGCTTACATGTATCTAGCGAAACCGGACCAAAAGGCCAGCGTCCTGACGCCAGCAGGACACACAGCAGCAGTACAGTAGCTCCAACGATCTGGCCGGTTTGTTGCTCAGTCTTTTTTCTTTCGCCGGGGCCGCTAATGGTTGGCTCAAGTATGTACGCATGACACAGCACCAGTCCATTATATGTCCAGACTACCCATTCCAAACAAGAATAACAACAGCAATCGAAGGGGACGGGTTCAAGTACTAATATCACTAGAGGACATCCTATAGCAGCGGGGGGTGCGTGTTGGCGCGCTCAAATCTCCGCAAATCTTCGCAAATCACCGTAAAATAGACCGACACCCAGTGTCTTCTACTGCTTGTGCTCGCCGCCACTGACCCCAATCTGCTGGACTGCGGGTCTACAGCAGTAGCTGATGCCACTAGCTACTGATGGCAACCCTCCGTTCAGGGGATTGCGGTCCGTGGCGGTGAGACGGATATGACTAATGTTGATGCCGGATTTCAGACTGTTATTTTTTCACAGGTTGCTGCGACCTCCGATATTTCAGCTCCAGTAGCAAACCTGAACGTGCCAGCACGCACGACGGCTCTTGATGGTGCCCTCTACTGATATTAGTGCTAACTACCAGGGTCCTCAGGCGGGACGGTTGTTTTCTTTATGCTGGATCAAAGTATGAGAAAAGAGCCAGCGTAAAAAAACCCAATTCTGCGCCCCCCTGATATCAGCTGTAGGATGCACGTTGAAGTTCGGTTGTTCGTACATATTTTCAGGCGGTCGACCCAGCATCGCCATTCTGCCTAAATCTCGCGGATGCAAAGTAGCAGTTGCAGCAGAACCATCACAGCTACTCGCTGACAGAGTAGCATGCATGAACCAAGCAATGGACTGCACTGACTCCTATCTGCTGTTTGCCAACAAACTGCTGTTGCGCTTTTGCTGCTGCTGTGTAGTTCGAGAATAAAGTGCGGCCCGACCTGGAAGATGGGACATGATGATGATTTCAGCAAATTTCAGCCGACAGTAACTGGCTCTGCTGCAGCTGCCAAGACGGAGCAACGGCAGCATCGTGCTTCGAACACGAACATCCCTCACCTACCCAAACCCACCCTACGCCACAAGCTCTCTCTCTCTGGATCTGGATCTGTACATTCATGTGGCTCGTGAACAGCCCGGTTGTGACAACCATCGCTTCAGACCGCTGAGATGGACAGACGCAGCAGTGGTGAACATACCGATCCAGGTGGGTTTGAACAAGGCGCTACTGCTGCTGCTGCTCACCTGATGGACGCCAGTACTCGCTGGCCCTATGATCACCACCACCAATCGCCCCTCGCCGAGTTGTTTCCTGGTCAAGGACGGCTTTGTCTGTCGCTGCTCATGACGAAGCTGAGACTCGTTGCGGATGAGGTCGAGGAAACCTTGACATTGCTGCTCCGATCCTCCGTCCGCACCGCCTCTCTTTCTCGGCTTCTGCCTACTGCTGCTGCTTCGGTGCGAACGCGATGAAAGCCTGCTCGCGCCCCCACCTCGCGCTCTACTGAGCGCCACATAGCACAGAAGGAAGGTAATGCCGAGCGACGGTAGCAGCTTCGGCTCGGGCATCGAGAGGGTGCAGACCTTGAGAACCCTCTGGCGGTGGGCGATGAAGATGGGTGTGCGCAGCTTGTTCGTCAACGTCCAACAATGTGTCAACACAATTGGCCTCCTCCTGCTCTGAGCTTAAGGCCAGCGGAGAGAATTTCGCTGCACTCACACGTCCACGATCCCACTTATGCGGCTTTAAAAGGCCCACGCATAGATCCTGGTCATGATATGCACAGCCGACTGGCAGCTCCCCGGTACAAGCACCGAAAGCACCAGCTGGTGCGCAACGAACTACGGAGCCCCCATGGTAGTATATTTCCCTTGTAACATTTTCTATCGGAGACCCCCCCCTTCGTCGTTGTCGTTGTCTCACAAGTACAAAAAGGTGTTACAAGCAGAACATGGCGGCCAGCCTGCACCAGATTGCTAGGGCGGGCGCGTTGGAGGAGGGAGAGGAGTTCTTTCGAGTGGCAACGGACTCTAGAGGGGAGCAAGCAGCCAACGCTCTTGACGGAATGCAAAGGTGCGAGTGCTTTTTCCAAATGGGGAGACACGATCTCTCTTTTTTAGAAAGTAAACATAACCTCACAGAAAGACTTTTTGTTGATACTTTTTGCCATGAGCGTAGCACGAAGAGGTTTGTCTGCCGTACTCAGTGGCTCCCGAGACGGTTGGAATACGGCAAAACAAGCACCTGGTGTTGCAACCTGTCTCTCCTTTGCCGACCGCAAGTGGTATGGTGCGCTGCCGTGTACGGTGCCGCGAGATATCTTTGTATGAAGAAACGGCAAGAATAACTGCCGCACGCACACATTCACCACGTGTTGGTGTGGGCGTGGGCGTGGACAACCTGCAGTGTGTGTGACCGGAAGTCTCTCTCTCCGCCACACAAAAAGTAAATGCGCGTGTTTGGTGACATCTCATGATGCTTGGTGCCTTGTCAGCGTATGTCGTCTGCTACGATGCAAGTATGCATAGGACACGCGAAACTGCAGGCGGACAGGTTGTCGCTCTAGATAGGACTGCTGTCTCCATCGAACCGGGTGTATTTATTAACAGCAGACTACCGTAAATGACACGCAAGATAACACACCCTCTGCACCGATTTTCAAATCTCAATTTGTCAACAACAGAAAGAGTCACGGCGCCGAAAACGGCGGCGTTGGAACCGTCTCGTCGAGAGCTTTCCAAAAATGTATCGTTTCGTTTATGCATCCTCTTCGTCGTGGAGTAATCGAGCTTTGAAAATTGGTCCAGGGGGTGTGTTATCTTGTGTCGTATACGGTACGCGGCTCATCCATGACGCGAACAGGCTGAGGAGAATACATCTATGTATGCTGGCGACAGTCGAAAACCTCTCGGTTTATCTTTTTTCTACGTGTTTGACGTAACAGCCGTGGTGGCACCGAAGTGAGATAAGGTTACACGGGAGCTATTTTATGGGGGGGGGGACTTCACAAAAGAAGGTAAAAGTATTCGCCTGGAGTTAAGCAACAGAATAGGGTACACTTGTTAGTTTGTGTGTGGTCAAACGCATGACGCCAGGTTTGTTTTGTTTTGTTTTTCTCCCATCATTGGACTCTGTCGTCTGCCTCTCTGGCCCCTATCCTCCAATTCTACTAGCTAGACGACCCAACCGGGGTCACATAGGAGGGGGGGGTTGGACCCCCTCCTGCGGTTCATGCCTGAGGTATTTTTATCGCGAGAAGGGTACAGCAATCCCTTCCCTCGCGACTTACGAAGTCGATATGGTTTACTAACAAACGAGCTTTGCAGCGCGTCGCTTTCATCCTAGACCAGGATTTATTTAGTGAGAAAAAAACTCTCTTTGCCGGTGGACACCTCTAAATCGCCTCGTAGCACCTCGATCCCACGCGCTAGGTCCTTGGGCAGCACGCCCTGACTTTTGGTTTATTTTTGCCCACCGCAATTGGGTTAACTGGACGACCTGGCACCTCGTCTTGTCATCCAACCTTCACCTTCAGCCACTTGCCGTAAAATCAAACTTCTACCATTCGTATTCATCAATTGTAGTTGTTTGTGCATTGTTACGGCTGTACCCTATGTTGTCAACATGTCTCAGATTCCCCCTAAATAGAGAGTGATTCCAGCCTACATCAAAGAGGTGTATGTATTAAACCATACATGCCCAAAGACTGCTCTCGCTCTTTGCGGGTGACCCAAACCAAAAAATGGCGGCCTTGTTCACCAGCTATCAAGCGATTCCCGATCCGATTGCTGTCTGTCTGCTGTATTCCTGATGGCGGGGACGGATGCGAGGGATACATGCGAAAGCTAGCTGTGGTTCTTGCTCGTCATGCCGTTCCGATACAGCATCATTGTTCGCTCCCCCTTGGGGCATAAAGTTCACCCGATAGAGCGAGTTTCGCACGCACTCGCCGACTGCAATACACCGCACGCGTGGAAGCTGCTGAGAACGTTGCTTGTGGCATCGGACCTGCTGGCAACTGACTAACGTGTATCACCCACGATAATTACCCCGAAGGAGAAGGGATCGATGGTACAACGGAGTTGGCGAACATCAAACTTCGATTTGATTTCGATCTTTTTTATCCACCCAAGCGCCGAAGACCGCTGGACCCTCAGGAATTTGATCTTTCGCTTTAACGAATCGCCCCCAAAGACCGCAGGAAAGCTCCAATTTCATCTTGCTCGCATCTATCTTTTTGCCAACAGTTGCTGGTTGGCTACACTCCTGGAGATACTCCCGACGTCATCCCGACGCATGCCCCACCGTGAGGCTATACAAGCTATAGTCTATGCACCAGCTCCACACACCACAACGACCATGGCGAACCAAAGCTACACAGTACTGCAAGACACTTAAGACAGTCGTCACTGCACGCCAGGCCCGGTGCAATGCATGCTGCCGACATGGTGCATTCCTCGTTGGCGCAGCACCTCGCAAAGCCCGGTCGCGGTTGTTTGTTGTATTCAGATTGATTGTTGTTGAACTTGTTAAACGACAGACGACACACACACACACACACACACACACACACACACACACCGCTCAGAAAGAAAGAAAGAAGCTCACGCGTTGAGCAGCACGCGCTACACCTCTTTCTCAAGAGTTGGCCTACCCCCGACAACCAACAGACGCGTTCCATCGCAGCAAATACTGTAGCTAAGAGGAAGAAGGGCGCATCCAAAAGGTTTCGTGGCGATCGGGGTTTACATAACTGCGTGGTCTGGAGTGATGGTATGACGTGTTGCACGCCCGCCAGCAAAATGTCGCAAGGAGCCAGCATGCACGGCGTTTACAGCAAATGTTGTTGTTGGTGTTGTGCCTCTAGCTAGAGCGCGCAATATCAATACTAGCTGTATTACGGATCAACTCTGTTCGATGGCTCATCGCACTTAGTAGAGAGAGGTTTGTTAGAGAGCGTTTACATACATGTTAGGCAGAGCTCTGCACGGACGGGCGAAGCGAAAGCGTGAGTTCCTCCGTGCATGCATGTCTGAACGTGAGCAGTGAGCAGAAAAAAAAAGGGCAAACAGCTGCCATTAGGTGACCTCACATCGCATGACTTCTTTGAAAACATTACACTCGGGTCTTCGTAGGCTGATTTTGATCTCACGGCGGTCTTCCTTCGGACTTCCAAGATCAAATCCAAAAACCAGTCCGCGAACACCCTATGATAGCCCGTCTATGTGCTTTGCGAAGGAAAAAAAAGGTCATGTAAACAACAGCAGAGGATAAGGCTTCGAAACGTATGCATATCATCCACATTGTCTACGGCAACGTAAGGCCTAAGGTTTATAGGGTGCGTCGAACGGCAGTGCAGACGGTGCTGCTGAAGCGTGCCTGATCGATGCCCTCTTGAGACGTAAATTTTAAAAAACATGATCGAAAAATCGAAACTGGTTTTATGTGGTTCATTTGATCACGGGGTCTATCAGCCCTCCTGTTATCACCCCCTCCCGCTCAGTACCACACCACACACTGCAAGTCCAGCGACACTACGCTGTAGTAGTACAGTAGTAGCACCCATATTTCTTTGCAGGGGGTATCACACTCTCAATACCCCCCCCCCCCCCCCCCCG